GCCCCACCCCACCGGGGCTCACCCTCCCGATCCGCCGGTGGTCCCGCAGAGCCGCCTCCTCCTGCGCCCGCTCCCAGCGCTCCAGGGCCTCGGGGGTGGGGAAGGACACGGCGGCCACGCGCTGGAGGGATTGACCCCCCAAACCCCCCCAGAGCGCAGCTGAACTCTGTGGGCATGGGGGGGGGTCAGGGGGGCCGGGTGACAGGGACCCCCCCACCCCAACATGGTGTGGGGACATCAGTGGGGCCGGGCACTGGGGTGTGTCCCCCCTCCCCACCCCGACACCCACCGTGAGGACGCGCAGGGCTCCGATGAGCCCCGTGTGCCGGAGCAGGGGCCCACGGCAGAGCTGGAGCAGGGGGCCGCACCTGTGGGACGGATGGACGGACGTGGGGACGGTCATGGGGACCCCCCGGCCCCTCCCCGGTGTCCCCCCCTGCTCACCTATAGACCGTGGCCGTGGGGGACGTCACCTCCTCCTCGAGCTGCTGCAGCTGGAAGCTGTTGTGCTGAGGGGGGACAGGGGCACAGGTGACGTTCCAGGGGGTGACACCGAGGGGGAAGTGACACCACCCTTGGAGGGGAAAGGACCAAGGCGGTGACGGTGGCACAGGTGGCACCACGGGGGGCGAGACTGGTCCCCACGAGCATCACCCTGGTCAATAACCCCAACCAGGAGAATCCCAACGTCCCCAAGCTCATTCTGGGATGGGGAGGGGATGTGCTGGGGAGGGGACACTCTGGGCTGTCACCTTGAGGAGCTCAGCCAGCTGCTGGCGTGTGGCCTCGAGGCGCTCGAAGCGGTGCCGGGCGCGGGCGAACGCGGCACAGGCCTCTTCCAGCGCCGGCAACTCCGCACTCTGCACCGTCCTGCGGGGCAGGGGACGGGCTGGGGACACCCCAGGGACATCCTAGGGACCCCTGGCACTGTGTCCCCTCCCTGTCCTACCTGTCCCCCATGTGCACGTCGCAGTAGAATCCATCCTCGGTGGCCCAGGCGCTGCAGAGCATCCCCCCGAAAAACTGCTCGGCCACCGCCCCCAGGACACAGGCACTGGAGTGCCAGAAAGCCTGGGGGGACACGGGGGGGACACACGGGGGGACACAGGCTGTGAGGGGAGCACGGGGTGGGTCTGGGATCCCCCCAAGCCCCCCCCAGACTCACCTCCCGCCCCTCCGGCGAGGAGAAGTCGAGCAGCTCCAGGTCGCTGTCGTGCTCCAGGGGCCGGTCCAGGTCCTGCAGGACCCCGTTCACCCGGGCCACCAGCGCTGCCTCTGCCAGGCCACCCCTGAGGGGACAGCAGGGACCCGTGGGGACACCGTGGACACTGTGGGGACCCCACAGACTCTGTGGGGATCATGGGGACCATGGGGACACTGTGGGAACCCCGGAAACCTTGTGGGAACCTTGAGGGGATCCTGTGGGAATGCTCTGGGGATCCTGGGGACACTGTGGGGATCATGGGGACATTGTGGGGACCCCATGAACCTTGTGGGGGTCAATCTGGGGACCCTGGGGACACTGTGGAGACCACAGGGACATTGTGGGAACCCGGTGGGAACCATAGGGATACTGTGGGGACATTGAGAACACAGTGTGGACCCTGTAGACCTTGTGGGGACCCTGTGAGGACACCATGAGGGGCCCAGGACCCTTGTCAGGACAGTGTGGGGACCGTGAGAGGGCACCGCGAGGGGCCTGGGAACCTTGTCAGGACACCCTGGGGACCCCATAGCCCTCGTGGGGACCCCGGGCCGTACCCGAGCTGCGCGGCCACCTGGAACGGGGTGGTCTGCAGGGCGCGGCCGTCCAGGCGGTGCCCCCCGGGCAGCGCGATGCGGATGGGGGTCCCCGGGGGGAGGCGGCCGCCCCCGGCACCGCCGCCCGCCCCGTCCCCATCCCCGGGCCCGTCCCGCCGCTCCGCCGCCGCCGCCGCCCGCAGCCGCTGGAAGAGCCGGAGACGCTCCGGGTCCGGCCCGGACACCTGGGGACGGGGGGACACCGGGGGGTCACCGGGGTGGTGGTGGTGGGGTCACCCCGGTGTCACGTGGCCACGGGGGGGTCAGGGACCGGCGGGGGTTGGGAGGGGAAGGAAAGAGGTCCCGGGGGGTCCCCACGGGGCGGGGGGTCCGGGATGATGCGGGGGAGGAGGAGGAGGGGGGTCCCGAGCGCACCCGGTGTCGCCGGGGGGGTCCCGCGAGCAGCAGCCGCGACCCGGCGCGCGCGGACATGGCCGAGGCTCCGCCCGTTCCGCCGGAACCGGGACAACCCCCGGGGGCGGCACAGGCACCAGTTCCCTCTCTCTCCCCCCCCGCGCAGGCCGCGATGGACTCGTCCGCCCGGGCGGGAGTGCCAGGGGAAGGACGGAACCACTGAGAGGGCGGGGGGGACTGGGACGGGATACACAGGGAATAGGGGACTCAGCACCCAGAGGGGGGAGCCCCAAAGGCCGAGGGTGCCCGAGACCCCCCTGCCCTGAGCGCACGCGAGAAAGAACGGACCCGCCAGCGGCTCGTTTGGTACTTTTTATGCAGATCCTGAAGCCCACACCGGTATCAAACAGGTTCGATGGAGGCAACTAAAAACCAACAAAAAATAATTAAAATAAATCAAGTAAAATCCCGACTTCATATATAAAAGCCGCGGGGGCGGCCCTGGGTGGGGGGGAAGACGCTCCCCCTCCCCGAGCCCCCCACGGGCTCCGGCTGCACGTGGTGAACGATTCCAGAGGGAATTAGAAAGTGATTGTTGTTATATACACACACAGGTAGAAAGTCAACAGTGATCCTGGGGGAGGAAAAAAACCAAAAAAACCAAACCAAAAGATCCCCAAATTAACCCAAACCCAACCGACAAAGTCTTCCCGAGGGGGGGACAGGCTGGGGAGTCCCACAGAGCTCGGCCTAAGGTGGGTTTGAGGGGTTCCTTGACCCTTTTTGCCTTGTTTCGGTGGTTTTGGCAGCCGGAGGGGGAACAGGGGGGGTCTCCCCTCCCTGCAGCAGCAATTTGGGGATCGGCTGAAAACCAACACCCCGACAGCCCTCAGTGCTCCTCCCGAGGCTTGCAGAGTTGTCTTTCCTTTTTTAATGTTTTTTTTTTTTCTTTCTTTTTAACTTTTTCAACTACTACTGAAGTTTTTATTTAACAGCAACGCGGCTTCTTCTCGTTAAAACATTGGTTTGTGTCTGTTTTCTTGTCTCGCCCAACTTGATGGGGGGGGAGGGTGGGCTGGTGGGGGGGGGGGGGG